TATATATGACATGGGTTATGTACTAGAGCAGGATAAGATGGGAAGAAGAGAAGATGCTTTCACGCACGTGCGTACGACACCGACGACATGATGCCCTGCAACACACGTAGACAGATGTGGGTGAGTTACTAGAGGAGCTTATTATTGGATGGACTTGCAGGCGCTCAGTAGCCATAGCCGGCAAGAGCATATGCAAGTTCTATCGGAAAATGCTGAGCTAAATACAGCGCCTACAACAATCAACATCTTACCTAACTTACCTACGCGCTGATTGCATGAAATTAACGAATACGATAGCGACCTAATCAACTACCTGCAATCGCCAGGTAGATGAAAAATACTCATTAAACTGCCGCCGCTACTTGACATAAAAGAAAAGAAATCGGTTGCAGGATTATTGATGGGCGAATGCGACACAATGCGAGAGCAGTAATAAGTTTGGATCCTTGCAGTAGACGACAGATCGTCGGCGAATGCGTGCCAACCGTCGCACGATAAATGGTCGGCCACGCGTCCGGGAGAACGACGAATGACACGTGCCTCATCGTCGTCGGGCGCAGCTGCTACTGCCGACGTTTCAACGCCGTGTTCAACGACGTTCAGCGAAGTCGTGAATGATGATGGTCGGTTGTGAAGAAGGGCAGAAGGCGCCAACCCCCAGAAGACCTCGCGCTAGGGGCCCGGAAAAGTCGCGTAGAACGACGATCTCTTAGTTGCCTATGCCAGTTGGCGTCTTGGTAATTCGTAGAGCGCATGTGTAAGTCTACTTCTATGTGATAGTGGTGCAGTGCACTGAGCACCCTGCACAGGCGTGACGCAATCGTCTGCTGTTAGCGTCACAGGCGTGACGCAATCGTCTGCTGTTAGCGTCACAGGCGTGACGCAATCGTCTGCACGGTTAGCGTATTCGCAGAACGATGGACATTTTTTTCGTGTGATACAAGTTCATGTACCTCGGGCAATATATCGTCGTATAAAACCACCAAAAACTCCTTATTCCAAATCTTTATATCGAATAATTCTAAATATCTAGAAATTTAGCAAGAATAAAAATGCGCATAGCATTATAAAATATTTGATTAATGCTTTAATTATTGCATTTTAGCGAGTTTTCTACTTTAGTGTTGAGAGTTTGAGTGGCAGCCCTCTCCCTGTTTTTAACATTTCTTGCTCGACTAGTTGACTGGTTAGCATAAATGGCGGCCTGGAACGTTAGCGACATCTACTGACTATCTCGTGCAATTCCCCTCAGCCAATATCGTCTATCGATTGACAAGGAAGTCACTATCGGAAACGAACAGAATGTCGACTCACTATATTTTTACACTCGCACAACTTTGTCTCTCTCGCGACGTTCAATGTGCAGCGTTTCAAGTCGCCCAACCGTCAATTATTAACTTCTTCTTATCGCAAAATTTTTACGATTCGAAACAAAGACGCCGCTCAATCGCAAGCGTATTATTGGCTTTACAGAAACTCAATCCCTAGACAGTAAAACTTCTGCCGCGAAGCGCATTTCGCCGTCCCTGCACCGCACGCGCGTCGCAAGTCGAAGAAATCGAAGAAGTCGAAGAATTCGACACGAAGAAGGCTACCGCGTTTACACGCTCCATTGCAGTGATGACCGCGACATGCTTTTGACACGACCCCCTAAACATGATGGTCGTTAACAACTGTTGAAACGCCCCCTAATGGAAATAGTCGTGATACGCTGCTACTGTCCTACCCCTAAATAAATGGTAAGTGAAATGCTTATGATACGCCCCCTATAGGTGAGAGTCGTAACTGCTGATAAGTCTTCTAAATGTAAAGACGGATACATGTTGTAGATTACAGGCGGTTCATGTTACATGCTGATCTATAGCTCATACATTTGTCTCCGTCGGTGACATTTAGCTGCAGCAATTACCACTGGCAGCAAGAACAAGTCGGCACCTGCAGCTACAGCACACACGCGGCCATTGACTATATATAACAACATATTGTTATTATTATTATTGTTATTGTTATATAACAACATATTATATATATAGTTGTTATATATAGTCAATGGCCGCGTGTGTGCTGTAGCTGCAGGTGCCGACTTGTACTTGCTGCCAGTAGGAATTACTAGACACATAGAGGTGTATATGCAGCTCTGCAGCATTTACTGACCGCGGCAAGGCTTGCAAAGTTCACAGAGCGGATGCTGTGTAATTTACGGACCTTTCTCTTCATCCCCCGCCCTTCTCTCTCTCTCTCTCTCTCTCGTTCTCTCTCTCTTTCTCTCTCTCTCTCTCTCTCTCTCTCTCTCTCTC